CAGGAGTAGTGAGCGTTTCGTTATTTAATATTAGGCTCGATTAGAGCCCGAGTGGTATGCGGGCGGTGACTGTCACCATAACCGGCCCGAGTTAACCGCCACTCCGAGAGTAATTACACTGAACTTCATTTAACTTCCGCAGCTCACTCCAAATATCAGTACCACTAAGCACTGTACTTACTTTACTTAGTTCGTAACAAAACGATGCAATTTTAACTAACGGTCCGCCGGGATAAGTCTCAACTGTGTATAACTTAATGTACTTTTATCTTTAAACTTTTATTTCAGACCGGTTGCGCTACTGCTCAAGTTTCTTTAGATAACACATAGGGTTCCTAGTAAATTGTCTTGATACGTTACACAATGAATTTTATTTTAAGAATGTTTTATGGTTGATAGTTCCAAACATATCATATGCAATGGCTGTAATGGCTCTTATACACAATAAATAGAGAATGAAATTGAATTAAATTTGGTATACATAAAATACTTTATATACACACGCATAAGCACACACATATCTATGAACATGATGCACTAGTTATATTTGTAATGTATTTGTGATAAAGTTGTTTGTTCTGACAGATTTATTACTAGATATCGCTGATAATTATCTAAAGTTTGTAAAACATACTATGTAGGTAGGTTACAAATTTATTTATAAAACAGCACAATCTCTGGAATCCTGTATTAGGTTAATTTCAAATTGCTCGAGGATGATTTGGCATAGTAATAAATATAAGTATATATACTTATATACTATATAATACTACTATAACGAGCATAAAATTTCTGCTACTTAGGTATCACTAGGCAGCTAGTTTCACAAATGTAAAGTAAATGAATAAAAGTATAGGAACACAGTGTTTTTCATATCGAGCAGTGGTGACAGGTATAAATTTTAAGAGAAGCAAAAGATAAATTAAATACATTTTATTACGTCATTATGCTCATTCTTTTCTTAAGAAATTTGTATACTCTAATTTCAGATTTTATTATACACCAACGAGTAGATTTGCAACTTTGTAGATGGCGTATCAAGATAAAACATAAATTAGAGTTTAAATTAGACCTTCGGGAATAGAACTCTGAAAACCACATTCATTTAGGTCTAATGATTTTTGCGTGATATTGGAACAAACATACAGAAAGATAGACAAAAGGTAAAATTTTTTGGCTTCTATTATTGAGGCCTCTCATATACATTTTTCTTAAATATTTATTTGATACGACGACTTCGTTCGCGTAAATAAGTATATATATACAATTCTATGTGCTAAGTTAGGATATATCCTAAATGTTTTTTTTTTCACATTTTTACTTTTGATCAGAAAACCCATACACCCGTGATCGACCGGGAGCGGCTGACAAGCTGTTTGTCTTCACAAGTTGTTGGTCACGTACGGCGAGCCAGAGAAACCTCGGCCTGAATATTTGAGGTTGATGTACATCCTAATGATCATAAGTAGCTAATTATAAAAACGATTTCATTGAGATAGTTTGTATAAACATTGAAGTGAACCTACAATTTCATTTGTAATTACCAAAATTCGTTCATATTTGACGAAGATATAATGTAATAGGTATACACATGAAGGTAAACTGAGACTCCCTGTTTTTTGAAGTAGCTAACATGTGATAGGTACCTATTTATAGATTATACCACGAAGATCTTTGTACTTTACATTTACATAAATTTTAGTCTAACATATATAACATGAGACGTCTCCTTTATGGTTTAAAACGTTTTGCTAAAGACTTATTCCTAGTTTTAAAATCATACTTTAAAAAGACTTTTGCATTTAAGTTTTTGTAAGATTTAAAAAGGCATTTTTATATTGGTAAGGTATTTTTTCTAGCTGTATTCCGCGACTTCGCACGACGTCGTATCGAAAAACTGAATAGCCTATAAATATTTTAAAAAAATGAGCTATCAAATAGCATTTGATAAAAAAGAAATCTGGCTGGTAGTTCCAAAGATAAGCGCGTTCAAACAAATAATCAAACTCTCCCGTTTTATATATTATCATAGTATAAATTACTGAGATGTAATATCTTATAGTATTCTTTTAATATATATCCTACTAATAATATAAATGTAAAAGATGTTTGGATGATTGTTAGCCAATCATGCTCAAACGGCCAACCAATTTGAATGAAATTTGATACTAGGGTAGATTCTAATAATACACAGGTTAATGTATGTACTGATTTTTGAGTGAAAAATTGTGGGAAACAGCTAGTATATGGATAAAAATATCTTTTTATACATGAAATGTTGGATGTGATGAAATGATGACTGTCGACTATAAGTGTAGAGAATGCGATAGATATCACACAATACCCACGGGAAAAAATTCGCCAATGTACTTATTTATTGTCTATTCTTTTATTTATTTTTTGTGTGTTTTCTTCTATTTCCATTGAGGAATATTGCACTGATAATAAAGAGATAAAAAAGAAACAAGTCAGGTCTCTTAATGACATATTATCGGATATAATACTTTTATATTTTTCACCAAATGAAGTACTTTTATATTTGTGTTATAATTAAAGTTATTTGAATTAAGAATTTACGTTTGGTACATTGTTTGGTATTATAATTTAGTCATAAAAAATCTGACTATTAACCGCGAAGCGAGCCGTAAAAGAGGCTATTGTCGTATATACAATGGATGTCTTTTATTAAATGAACGATGTACAAACAAGATTACAAATATAACCGTCATAAAAAATAATACCAATGTTGAAAAATATCTTGATTTGTTATATTCGGCCGTTATTTTATCATCGTTTGCGTTTTCACTACGCTTCTTAATTTCCAGGTCAGGAAATTAAACTCACGCTGGGGCCGTCAAAAGCAAATACGAACCTAGCTTGTACTTGAGGTGCAAAAGTCTCAGGTACATCATTAAAGTGATGTTAATATTCAATTTGTGTTGAATATTACATTAGTTATGGCCGCGGCTGCTTTTGCGGTGTTTATGGGTTAGTTTATGACGTCCCAGTTGGATCCTTGGATGTTAAACCGTGTATGTATTCTTAAGTTTTGTCTTAATAAAAAAACCTTTTTTATGTACTTTTACGTAAAATCTAGAAAGTTTGTAAGAAATTATTACATTACGGGTGGACAGAACATTTATTTATTAATAAATGCAGTGACAGTCTCAAAAGATTAATTTGTATAAAACATAGATAAATGATATAATATTACAAAATATCTTATTTATTTCATAAGATAAATTTTATCTGAAGTACCATTATGCTCAAACATTTAAAGCTAAGAATAAGGACTAACCTAATATCTTTGATTACTGGTTATTAAAAAAATAGTTGATAAGAATGAAAATTCTCCACACTTTCTAATCACATTAGTTATTAAGTAATTAAAGACTAAAGTATATAAAGATAAATATAATAAATAATAAAGACAATTTAAAAAGTCGTTATCACGTTTCATTACCTACTGTTGTTAATAACCGTTTATTATGCAGGGTACGGTTATATTGGCACAATAATTATCTTAACATGACACCTTTAAGGGACATTTTAGCAATAAATTAAATGAGTAACCCTCATGCTAAGGTGGACAGTTTTAGGGATTTTGAACATAGTACGATAATAGGATCCCCGAAACGTTATTTGTATCATCAACAGTCACAAGTACTTGTTGAATATTTGTTTAACTCGTTTTACTATTTAATTATTTGAAAATAGTTAAATTAAGAAAATTAATACCACCATTAAGAAATGGTGTCATAGAAGTGAGCAATGGTATTCTTAGCAGCCATCATATTATATTGGAGGTGATAGATATGACAGTGATATTAAGGATATAGATTAAAGGTATGTCTTACCTTTGTCCTCTGCAACGATCAGATATCATGGGCGTCACAGTGTATTAAATTTATAACTGCGCTCTTCTTATAATTACGTGACGATTACTGTTTTAATCAGGTAGCCCATTATTTCGTTTGTGTTTTAATTTGAAAAAGAAACTATGTCTACAAGAGACGTTTTTATTATTAATTATATAGAAAACAAAGAGTTTTCTGTCAATTATCAAATGTTGCAGACTAAAAGTAGGTACACTGTCAGGGATTGTCCCAGAGATCACACAGATAATGAGCTGGGCACAATGAATATTTCCTGTTGACGCAATCTCTTAACTGTCAGCGTTCACTCTAGAGTTCTATTTTTCCTTTTAACGTTTTTATTGAATTCTCTACATACTGCCTTAATTTAGGCTTTCCATATGGCTTGAAAAAGGACGAAGTGCTTAATTCGCTTGTATTTTTTAAAATAAGTTACGGTATATATGTATATATTTGATATATTAGTTTTATTAAAATTGAAAAAGCACAACGTGCAGTTCTTGAAGTGATACTCAACAAACTACAACCTTTTCCGTGGGTGTCGTAAGAGGCGATTAGGGGAGGGCGAGGAATGGGCAGCAGCGTCCCTCTTAGAACATCTCTAAAAGCCTAACTGCGGTTGCCAACCTGCCTGCCAAGCGTGGCGACTGAAATAACAAATATGAAGTTACAATGGAATAGAAGTATTACTTCCACCAAGTGGTTGAAGTACCGTTGTATATGCTGTTACACATAAATTCACACACATACACACACACACGAATACATGCATCTTCCTTTCTACAACGTACATATGTAATAAGTACATTATACAACCATAATTATTTTACATTATGTTCCCTTTGTTACTTTTTTATTTCTATAAAAAAATAGATCTTTTTGAGTTAAATGATAAAATTATACAAGAATCAAATGGCAATAAACATGTACTATGTAATTAGTTACTCATCGATTACTACGAAACAAACCTGCGAGCCTAGTGTAGTAATTACTGATAACTGAATTGTGTACCCACATGTTTGTTTGAATAAAGTTATTATTATTAATCAACTATCACGTTTTAGGTATGGTCGAAATTGTAGTTATTTCTTTTATGAAAAAAATTATAAATTAGAATATACTTAATCACTTTTCTCTTTGAAACATTTAATAATAAACATATATTGAAGAATACACAGAAATAGCTTTTAATATCCTTTGGTATATTTTATGAAATAATATATTTACAGTTATTAATAACGCAAGTATTATTTATTAATATAATTACTGTCAATATTGATATTTAATTAGGTACATACAATATTCTATGAATGTTGTATTGTTTTATAATGAGATTCACAAATAATTTTATTGTTCAAAACTTAACAGATTATTATGAATAATTGAATTTGTTTTATTTTATGTTATAATTTTTATCTATATTCTTGTTATTATATTTCGGCTTACATAAATCTGTAATAGGTACATCTACTTTAATAATTTACATTTTTAAGTTCTATTTTCACAGAAGGATATGATAAAAATTGTTAAAATAAATTTTAATTTGATCTTTAGAAAATTTATATTAAACAATGAATAATTTTGTCGACAAAGTGACATTATGGTATATTTCGAGTCCATTATATTAAAACCAGCGACATTATTAGAAAATTATTTAACGGTGATATCACCTGTGTTATAGACTATTCAGGATGGTTACGTAAGTTAAAATGACATAGCCAGAACATGCTTCATACATTTCTTTGCATTATTGATTGCGCTTGTATATTTAATAACACGACCGCAGGCGAATCACTCAGGAAAGAATTTTCAATATATGTCACAAAATAAATATTGTATGTTAGACATATATTTCCACTTGATAGTTGAGGCCGGATCCACGGTCGCTCTTGAATCTGAGGTTTACGTAAGAGAAGCCCACGCCGCCGGCGGTTATACTGGCAATCGCATCAGTGTGGTCTAAATCTCTTGCAATAACGCCCTGAAATTGTAAATTCACAACATTAATGTTTACTAATATTATAGTTATGTGAAAGGAATTTTTTTTTTATAACACAGGGTAAACCAGCACGCGGCTTGTTATTTTTGGTTCTATAATGGCTCAATCGTTATGAATTATGGTACACATGTAGTATTTGGAAGGAAGTATATACTAAATTTTATATACATACATTTCTCAAAAACTGTGTTTGTTTTAAAATAGTTTAATTTTTTTTATAATATCTACATACCATTTTACAAGCTTTAATATAATCGAATTTAATATATAGTGTCATTCGTCGCTTCAAAATAACATTATAATTAGAAAACTAGGGAATTATATCTTTTTAATATTTTCATTTATACGTCAATAATTATGCAGTATAAAAAATGTATCTAGAATCTACAAATAAAGCTCTTTCATATGATACTACACTTGAACTAGGAGTATTATTTTAAGATTTTGAGTACTTAGTAAAATTAAAATATTTTTCAATGATTTCTTTTGCAATATATGTGAGATAATTATATCTAAAACTATTATAAATTAGAAATAGTATCTATAGTTGTTGAGATAAAGCGCTGTTACCGAGGTACAGATGGATAAATAGTTTAACTATAAAGTTTTCTTTGTATCATTTTGGCATTGAACCTTTAATAACATCGGCTCATTTAGCGAAGTACAAAAAAAAGTAGTTGTTTTCACTACCTGTATACGAAAATATACAGTGCAATTAAATAACTATCTCGGTGAATAATGAAGTCAGTTCAAATTTTTCTATTCAAAAGCAAAGACTAATATAGATGTCTATACTAGTCCTTGCTGTTTGTTGCTCGCTGTTTGTTTAGAATGTGCTAAATATTATTTTTTATTTACGCTAGTTATTTAGTTATACTTCGTACGAATTGGTTTAAAGTCCCATGTCTAAAGGACTTATTTTTATTTTATCATATGGTAGATAGAATATTTTTTTTATTTCTGATCTGAAACAAAATTCAAATATTTTTTTTATTATTAACAAAAATGCAAAGTTACAGGAATTATGTTACATTAGCATTCAGAAACCACGTAGGTTTATATTAATACCAAATACATTCAAATTATTTAAATTGTATTAAAATCGTGCAAGAAGTATCGTTTTAATTTACATTTGATGTTGCTAATAGTAATATTATCTCGAACATCGGTGGGTAGTTCGTTAATAAGTCGAGGAACTAGATAGTCAGCCGTACGCTCACCATAACAGTTACGCTAGATAATTGTTGCCCTAATAGATAAGTTGTAAATATAAGTATCAACAAACAGTTATTATCTATGCGTGTATGAGACACATACAACAGATAGATACAACAAGACAACAACAATAGGGCGTCTCGTTATTTTTGATGTGTACGCTAACAGAAATAAATCTATTGACTCATTTAGGGGAGCAGGACATGTCGGTATCTCGTGTTTTACATAGATTTGTAAGAAAATACACATATGATTTCAATACAACCGCCATAATTCTTTTTTGTGATACTAAAAAAACAAGAATGTTTCTTTATTTATATTTGTTTTAGATTCAGTATGGCCAGAGACTAGACTCTGTGTATTTTAATTACATACTATTATTTTTTATGAGATAAAAATTGAATAGTTACTCCACCTGTGCTACCGGTATTGGCTGGCAGGGTTGGTGTCCCGCTTTCATCCTCATCTATTATCCTCCATTGGTTAAAGGATGATAAGTGAAGATAAAAGTAGATCACTTGATTCATCGTGATGAATTCACAACGAATTAACCACCACGAAGACCTTCAGGGGGTATGGCATAGAAGTCGACTGAATAGAGTATATTATTAATAATAGTTATACATTAATTAGTAGTAATAGTAATACATTACTTACAATTCCATTCCCCCAAATACCTAGTATTTTACATATTATTGTCTTACGGTGTAGTTGGCAGCAACTAAACCATGGTATTTGTATAATATGTCTGGAAGAAGCTTTCATCCTACGTCTAACATAGATATTTGAATTTCTATGCAGTCTTTTAGGTATTTGTTAGTCAATTTCGAATAAATGGCTGAATCTGGCTCGATATAAAGTTATATGATAAAATTGTATTATTATCACATCTATCTCGCACATGTATTTTAATTTGTTAAAAAAAATAACTGACGGTAATCTCCCCGATAATGGTAAAATAATAATCAAACGTTATAAAGAAATAAGTGCTGTTATACAATCACACGTTATAAAAAATAAAACAATAAAGATCAGGGACACAATCCAGAAAATTAAGATCTGAATCAATGAATAAAAGTAGAATAAAAAAAAAATTGTAATAAACCATTTAAATTTGCCATTATAATTATTGTGGAAATAAGGATGTCTAATATTACTATAATTGTTTATATTACAATTTATAACAAGTTGTTGTATAGGTACTTCTATAAATACTAATCTAAATAACCGACTTGATTTTACATGTGATCTGACAACTTTTAGTTATGGAAGAACTACGTTGTAAGACTTGGTATTTTTTTGCATTTTGTTTTTGATGTGATCTCATTTTTTTGTAGGTCCTCCTATTTTTTCTCGGATAATATAGGTATACATCTTGTCCGTAAACTACAAGCACGATGCCATACTTGCACTTCTTTATTTAGAACTCTTTTGGAAATTGTTTACATAAAAAAGATATGTGTATGTAAGAACAGGATGAAAGCAAAAAGTACATGAAATAAGAATTGATTTTCTTTGTCAATCTTTTACAGGATCTGGTGTAAATACAGACAAATATAGAAGATATGTAGTTATGTTTGTAGGTAATATTACCTTAGGTAATATTATACGTTCCGATAAAAGGGTTATTGAAAAAGTATCTATTATTAAGTAACGTAAATATAATGCTTATTTAATTGTTAATTAATTGTTATTGATGTAGTAGCTACAGTTACAAAGTAGAGATATGCTTTGCGTTTAACGGACTTCAAGTTAATTATAACAATATTATTTGGACTATTATGTTACATATAATCAAAACTAGATTTTAACCGTAATTTTATCTATTTAGAACTTAGTTAAATTAGAATTTAATTAGATGATGCTATGCCGTTTTATTAATTTTCATCTAAATAGTTATGAAAACGTCTTCATCTAAATGCTAAATAATTAAATTTATAATTCAGGAATAAAAAAAGTATAAATAACCGGCATAAAATGTCTAAAAAAATCAATGAAGTGTTCTTTTTTAAACACTACTTTAAATATGTCTTTCTTTTTAACATTGTGAACACTTTAGATTTCCCTGGAGGGTGTCTGAGAATCACTTGTAATTCCATGTCAATTTTGTTTTCGCCTTGCTTTCGTCTGGTGGATTTGTTATAGATATACTATATCGTTGCTTATGGCGAAGTAGGATGTTTTTTTAAAGATGAAAATGGAATGGTAACTCTCCTCGCGCTCTTGGTATACGTTGGCAGGGTACTAGTGAGGGATGACAGATGATAATGAAGTCACGTTAGCTGGCCCATTTGTGATAAATCCACTCGGTATGATGATGATATTTAAAATGTTGACCTGACAGGGTCAATATTGATGGTAAGGAGGCCGGTCATTGTGAGTAGAAAGTATAAAGTATAGTTTTGCATCGAAACTGAAAACTACTTCGATTTTAGTCGAAAGTTTGTTATATAGATAGTTTATTAATAATATTATAGGTAAATTGTGTTTGCATATCAATTAATACGAAAGGACATGGATGGGTATTGCTATTTAATCCTAATAGAGATAGTCTTTGTACTATGAATACTAAGTAACTGATAGAGAGTTATTACTAAATACTAATAATTTTGTTTGTACATACGAGTGATGAATACGTATATAAAAAAAACTATTATAATCTGCAATAAAGCAATATAAGGCAATATAAATATATTTGTGAAAGTAAATGTATGTATTGTGTAGGAATTAAATGTATGGAATAGGAAGTCGATGTAGCGTTTTAAAAATTATTAAACAAAGATCTTATCTTTCCACGTAATTTCCACTTAACTCAATGCACTTCTTCCATCTGGTTTCCAACGCCTGTATGCCAGTCATAAAAAAAGTTTCTTTAAAGCCATCAAAAAAGTCACCCACCGCAGCTTCGACCTCCTCATTTAATGATGATGATAATTTTGACCTCCAAGGTGTCTTTTGAGGTTTGGGAATAAATGAAAGTCTGAAGGTGCCAAATCAGGGGAATAGGCGAGATGGGGTAGTAATTCAAAGCCACAATCACGAATTTGAGCCATAGATTAAACAGACGTGTGAACGCGTGCATTATCCTGATGGAACAACACTTTCTTGCTGAGTAATCCTGGCCTTTTCTCTTTGATTGTTTCACGCAAACGACGTAATAGGGTGCAGTAATAAGTCGAGTTTATAGTTTCACCTTTTGCAAGGTAGTTCACCATGATGACACCCTTAGCATCCCAAAAAACTGACGCCATCACCTCGCCAGCTGACAAAATTGCTTTGGCTTTTTTTGGAGTCGGTTCATCAGGTTTTTTCCACTGCTTGGATTGCTGTTTTGACTCTAGGGTGTAGTGGTGTACCCAGATTTCATCCATTGTCACAAATCTAGCTAAAAAATCTTGTGGATCAGCCTCAAACATTTCCAAACAGTCGCGAGAAATCGTGAGCCGTATTCGTTTTTGTTCAACTGAAAGAAATCTGGGTACACACCGCACAAAAACCTTAGAAAATTCAAGTTTATTGACTGTTATGTTTTGTGTTCATTCATACGAGATGCCAATAGTATCTGCAATCTCCGTGATGGTCAATCTCTGATTTGTCAATATCAGATCACAGATTTTCCCGATGTTTTTTTCAGTCGACGTTTGTCGGTAGACGTCGTAGGCCGGTCATCTTCAATACTTTCTCATCCGCGTTTAATTTCTGCAACCCACTTTTTCATAGTCGTATACGACGGAGCAGATTCCCCCAATGTTGTTGACATATCTTCG